ATTGAAATAATAACAATTAATAAAATTTGATAAATCACATCAAACTAATTTACAAATATAATTATTGAGTGATCATTAATTCATGACTCATGAGTATCAAAATGAAATAGCATAGAAATATCTTACATAGAAATTACACCATTGTTTTTCTTTCATACAGAGTATAGTTCTATAATATATATATTGATCTTACATAAATATAATTGCCTTTTATAGAATATGATGATTTGTACCAATAATACGTGTTAAGATTTAATACATCCAAAATTAAGGATGATGAATTTTTAGATGATCTCAAGCAATCCATACATTCCAAAAAAAAAAAATGATCTCAAGCAAACTACCAATGCTAAGCCTCCTAGGCAATCTATGTGGTGCACCATTCAATAAACTACCCGGACATTGTCTGGGCACAACTAATATATATATATATATATATATATATATATATACTAATAAATAAAGTAATAGATTATTATTCCCTCTACTATACTAAAAGTCTAATTAATATAGCGTACTAAGTCATGACATAGACATAGACATAGTGCAAAAGGTACAAGGTACAAATGCACAATGCATACATCTACGGGTCAACATCGCAATCTTCGGGCAACAACCCTGCCGCCGGAGCACCAACAAAACCACCTGATTAAAATAATGAACATTCATCATTATGATCATTTTATCTAATTTAAAGAAATTTCTCTTTGGGTCTATCTCAATGTTTTCAATTTTATTTTTACTATATATATACTGAGTAATTTATTTGTTAAACTTTCTGTTTGTTCTCGGCCCTTACTTTTTTTGTGAGACAATTACTGTTGGAACATGTATAAAACTTGTTGGACAAATAGAGTACTTGGTAATTTTTTTTTAAATGATTTGTTTATCATGATTATTTTGAAAATCGCCCGCGATTTATCTAATTTATACATACAATAAATGAACGATATTAGAGTAATGAGTGTAGCGAGTTGGAAAAAAGGTAAGGAGAGTAGGAGACTCAAAACCCATATACAGATTAGTTAATACTTTATACTCCGTATATGTCTTGATCACATGATTATCAAGTACGATACTAGACACCTAGCTATACAATGAAAACTCATCAAACTACAATTATATTCATGGACAATAATTATATTGTTAAATTAGCAAATTAGATTTCATTTCACCATGAGATGAAATCAATTCTAAGCTGCGAGTAGAATGAGTACAATAGTTGATTGATTCCAAACTTATTATAAATTGATAATTTGGTACATAGCCATTCATTATCACTTGATGTGACGTAGCTAATCAAATAGATCAATTCAATGTCAATTTTACCATGCTATATATAAAAAGTCCACTAAATTGAACATAACTCGGAGTGTACCATAAGAAGCCGCTGACATCATTATCAAGAGGGCACCAATACACCTTCATTAGCCGGCACGCTACCACTCTTCCTAGCTGCGCTCTCGACGATGTCAGCCTCGTCGCAAGCAGCCGGTGACACCAACACCCCCGCAGTACCGCACCTTACAACACATGTTGAATTTCTTGGTATACACTCAAGACCAATCTCTCTTCCCGTCTCTCTACACGACGCCACAACTCGGATAAAACGAAACTTGTGTTACTTTAAATTCAATTACGTCAACTTTTTCCTTCTCATGTCTTACAATGCCATAAACAAAATCTTCATCCGCTCCTTGCAGCCCTTGCCTATAATCCTTTACATCTTCTATTTCGCCATTAACTACATGTGTCACGCCCTCTCCGTAAACTCGTATATAGATCCTCTCCTCCACCGCATCTTCCTTGGACTTCTCGTTTTCATCACTGTATTACCCTTTGTTATTACGGGTGCCGTGGTTGAGCTTTTGGCCATCATTGTGGTATACTCCTTCTTTGTTTGCTTGCACGCTGTGCTAAGAGTTCCTACTTAACTAATACTTATGATCAAATAAGGGATCTGTTACAAATTTACGATTAACATTGGTTTACTTGATTAGTAATCAGGACGAGGGACTCCTAATTACTCTTTTTTTTTTTTTCCCTATATAACTTGTAACGACAAGCACGGTCCTTGCAACTAGCTAGGGGTGTCATTTCGGGTAATCAGATATCGTTTGGGTTGACCCATAACATGTTAGATCTATTTGGGTCGAGTGTGTTCGAGTCAAGGTTACCTTTTTAACTCGTCTTAGTTTGGTTGGGTCAATTAATTTCGGATCAAAATCTATTGTCAACTTAGGATTGCTATTTGGGTTTGTATTTTGAATTTCTCAGGTCAAATTACGTCCGTTACAATTCAAAACGGTGTTGTTAGCTAAGCCAATTGGAATGTACCTAAAGGCTATCGTTTTAAGTATTTAACCTTTTTTCTGATGAGTTTTTTCCTTGTATTTGTATCCAATAATATATATTACGTACTATATAATCTATATATCATTTATTTAGATGACAAGATAAATAGTTTTTTTTGAAAGGATGCTTAATATTTAATTGTTATTTTCAAAATAAATATATTGTATTATATAAATTACGATCCAAGAAAGTCTGGAATGGGAGATTAGTTTTGCATATAGAAGTTTCAAGCGACTTTTTGGGTTTGTATTTTGAATTTCTCAGGTCAAATTAGGTCCGTTACAATTCAAAACGGTGTTGTTAGCTAAGCCAATTGGAATGTACCTATAGGCTATCGTTTTAAGTATTTAACCTTTTTTCTGATGAGTTTTTTCCTTGTATTTGTATCCAATAATATATATTACGTACTATATAATCTATATATCATTTATTTAGATGACAAGATAAATAGTTTTTTTTTGAAAGGATGCTTAATATTTAATTGTTATTTTCAAAATAAATATATTGTATTATATAAATTACGATCCAAGAAAGTCTGGAATGGGAGATTAGTTTTGCATATAGAAATTTCAAGCGACTTTTTGGGTTTGTATTTTGAATTTCTCAGGTCAAATTAGGTCCGTTACAATTCAAAACGGTGTTGTTAGCTAAGCCAATTGGAATGTACCTATAGGCTATCGTTTTAAGTATTTAACCTTTTTTCTGATGAGTTTTTTCCTTGTATTTGTATCCAATAATATATATTACGTACTATATAATCTATATATCATTTATTTAGATGACAAGATAAATAGTTTTTTTTTGAAAGGATGCTTAATATTTAATTGTTATTTTCAAAATAAATATATTGTATTATATAAATTACGATCCAAGAAAGTCTGGAATGGGAGATTAGTTTTGCATATAGAAGTTTCAAGCGACTTTAAAAAAAAATTGTCAAAAATGTCAGAAGTGGGATTTGAACCCACGCCCTCGTTAGAGGACCAGAACTTGAGTCTGGCGCCTTAGACCACTCGGCCATCCTGACCTACTGTACATTAATATTTTTATTAATCACATCGTCATTCAGATCACGTAAACATGAACATTAATCAAATCATCATTTTCAATAATTTATGTTTGGGTGTTAAAATGGTCATTACCCATATTAGTCAAGGGAATCTTACCTATATAAGCCCAACGATTGTCGTGGTGGGGCTGTCGAGGAGTGGGGAGATTAGGTGGTGATGGTGTGGAGTGGTGGGGGAAATTGGGGATGTGGTATTCGGGGAAGGGAGAGGGGTTGGTGGTGAGTGGTGGTGGTTAAGGGGGAGGTTAGGTGGTGGAGTGGTGATGGTGTGGGGTAGGGGGCTTTTTTTTTTTTTTTTTTTAATATTCAGGTTTTTATTTTTATTTTTTTATGCTGTTTTCGACGGAATTTCCGTCGGAAGTTTCCGACGGACTTTCCGGTGGCCGGAACTCCTCTTCTGACGAGAATATTCCGTCGGAATTCCGTTGGAAAACACTGTTCCAACGGAATTTCCGACGGAAAAGGCCGTTTTTCCAACAAACATATTTACGACAACCTGTTCTGACGGAATTCAGGGTGTTTTCGATGGAATTTTTCCGTCGAAAATGGCCTGTTTTCTAGTAGTGATAAAAGTTAAATATTAATAATGTATTGATCAAGATGAATCAAACAAGACCCCATATGATTAAGTACAGTTTGTTTTTATAGATTGAGAGAAGTTTAGAAGATTCACTTTCATTTTTTATAGTCAAAAGATTTCAAATGTGAATGTCATTGTAAAACACAAGGAGTATGAATTTGGAAATATATATCAAAATCATATGTTGATCGATGTAATTAATGTTTATTTTAATCTAATTTTTGTACATTCAGTTATCTTATTTTGCACCCCTGGAACGTTCATTAATTAGTTTTTTCCATAATAATGCATGTCTAATGCATGTTAGGATATATTTTTGTATGATCGATTAATTTAATTAACATGATATCTTAATCACCCAATCCTTTCTGATTCATCCAATGAATAAAGAATGATACGTCGTATTAGAGTATTGAGTATGTGTAACAAGTAGTATGGCAAGGTTATCTTATAAATTAGTAACTAGTGAGTAGCCCGGGCGTAGCCCCGGGTTGCTACTTTTGTAATCGTGTAATTGGGATTAAGGATTTTGAAATCTGAAATCGCTATTATTGAATGTGTTCTTTTTTAATAATTAAATCATGTTGTTTACACTTATATACATTTCTTTTTCATATTTATAACATGCTTGATAATGAACTAAGATGGTTAAATACCCAACTTTGCTATATGTGGTTGGGTGTTCGAATCCCCTTACGTTATGTTTTTATATGGGTGACTGTGGCGTAATGATTAAGCTTAATTCAGTGATGATGTGCCATAAAGAGATGTTGGGTACGATAATGAAATGTAGGCAAAAGCTAATGAGTGTCACTAGGAGTACTATAATATTAATTACTCGTCATTAATACTTATACACGACTTGTTAATTCTTATGCTTACTTGGACCTACATGAACTATTACTAATAAGGAATAACACCTTCAAAATATCTATTATTATTATTAATGACTAGAATAGTTATTAGCACAAAAAGACTTATTACAGAACGACAAGGTGACTTAAAAACCCATAGATACTATATACTTCATATATGACATAATTACATGATCATCATCAAGTTCTTGATGTAAATCAACTTGTTCAAATGAAACTTCAATTAATGGGGCATACAATTCTTAGGAATGAAATTGATGAATCTCATTTCACAATGATATCAATTACTACCTCCGTTTCATATTAGTTGCAATTTTGGAATAATTTGTAAAATATAAAATATTCCAAAGTTGCAACTAATATGAAACAAAGGTAGTAAAAGATGCGAGTAGAATGAGTAAAATAATTAAGTTGAGTGATTCCAAACTTAATTTTTATTTTGATGATCGATGTGACTAGCTTAATAGATTAATTAAATGTCTATTCTATCATGTTATTATAAAAAGTCCACTAAATGAACGTTACACATTAACACCCCATACAAGGACGGTGCCGCTGACATTGTCAAGTTGCCCTGCCCCTCGACAATGTCAGCGTCGCAGGCGGTGGCAACGGGTGACACCACCACCCCCGAAGTACCATACATGACAACGTATTTTGAATGTCTAGGCATCTACTTATACTATCTTCCCACCAAAACTCGCCAGAAAAGCAACATAGCTCACTTTGAACTCAACTACGTTGCGTTATTCCTCCCCAGATTGTATCATATCTTAGGCATTACTGTTTTTCGCCCCTACCCTTTACTAATTTACATCCTCTATCTGGTCTTTAACATGGCGGCGTGTTATGTCCTCTACGTTGACTCTTGTTCTCCTCTATACCATCGTATTTTCTTTGGGCTGCTTGTAGTCGTCACTGCTTTACCCTTCGTTATAATGCACTGGCGGATCCAGGAATTGTACCTGGGGGGTTCGAATTTCATCAAACACCCGATATCCGAATGCACGATATAAATTTGGTATTCAAGTATAATATAGAGTGTTGAAATAAATACCAATACACAAGTACACAACAAAAATAAATCCAAATTCCAATAAAAATGCAAAATAAAATAATCCAATACAATGTCTTCACTAATTGGTTAAAAGAAAATAGATTAACAAGCTACAATTTAAACAAGTAAAAAACATATTAAAATATTTAAGAAATTGAAAAAAGAAAGAGGGAGAGAGAAGCCGTTACCTAGGGGGCTAGGGGAGTAGCCGAGTAGGGGTCCGGTGGCGGTGACGCTGCAGCAGGGTCGTGGACTAACATTGTATGTAATTGTTTCGAATATTATTTATATAGTTTTTTTTTTTTTAATAAAATTCCCATTTTTTTCCGGATCTAACGGGGTTCAGTTGAACCCCGCTGGATCCGCCCGTTATAGCGCGTGCTATGCTGTGCTGCTAGGCTGGTCTGTATTCGTCACCATCATTGTTTGCTTGCACGCTGTGCTTAGAGCTCCTATTTATGATGAATATGCTTTACTTGGTGCTCAACAACGACCAGCTATTTAATATTCTTCTCGTTGCTCTATGTATAAATTGCAACATATTCTTTTTGGTATGTTTCAGTTTATATGCACATATATAAAGTGCCTTGTATATGACCTGCTGGTTAGCCAAGTCAATTTTAACCTTTCCCAGGTCTTGAGATTTTGTTAATTTGTTCCATGTATATACTACTCGATACATATATGTTTACATACGTGTCTTTGTGAAATTAAAAGATATCATTTAATGTTGTTTTTAACAATTCTATGTGTCTTTGTGAAAAATAAAAGACATCATTTAATGTTGTTTTTTATAATTCTATGTACCTATAGTATATATCATGATTATTTGGTTTGAGCATTAGATAAATTTGTAAAGCTATTTTATTTCCTTTTTTTTAAAAAAACAGTTGTTTTGTTACGATGCTGCTTAAAAAGAATCTAAATATATTGTACTCAATTCTTTAGTCTTAAGTTAATCTCTCTACCTCTTACGAATCTAATTAATCGATACTCATTCCATTTTTTAAATAAAATTGCATGTAAATACATTGAACACGATATCAAATATAATATAAGCAAAGTGAAATGAAATTAAGAAGGATAAAGTTTTCTTCGAAAACTCTGGAACATTGAAACGGTCATGCAAATATAGCCAAATCACTTTCATAATAGTTTGACCAAATTTATTAGGCAATCAAAATTTCAAATGTACACTAAGTCTTCTAATTTATAATAATATAGTCTAACAAGGCGTGCCCAAGGTAGGCTCAAGCAGCTCACGGTTGACAATGACAACATTAGTCAACCGGACCAAAAGTAGTTGTACACATACACTACAATACACTTCCTAAACATCAGAAAACTTACATCGGAAAATTTGTAATGTATCTCTGAGATTATACGCTCCCTTAGCTTAAAAAAGTCTCATTTTCACTCAACAATGTCGCCGTCGTCAACACCGGAGATATCCAGTGACAAAACTGAAGTCGTGGTAGCACCAGTTTATCCATCATGGCGGGAATTTTGGGACATCCATTCATTCTCTCTTCCATCCTCTCCCCTCGACGCCATAAGTCGGCTGCAACAAAACTTAACTCACTTCCAAGTCAACTACTCATACATCATTTTCGTTAACTTCACCGCAAGCATCATCGTAGCCCCGCTCATGTATATCATAATAGTCACTACTCTAGCGTGCTTCTACTTCTACAAGATGTGCATTCGTTCGGACCGTTCTGATATTGATGAGCCCCGCCCTCACTTCATTTTTGTGAGCCCTAAATCCTATAGTATTTTAGTTGTTGTGTGTATCATAATATTCACTATTTTACGATTCTATTATGGGCTTCCATGGATTTATCCGGCGTGCTTGCTTGTGACTTTTGCCGCGGTTGTTTGCTTGCACGGTATGCTTAGAGTTCCCATTTATGATCAATATCAAGGTTTACTTGATGCACAACTTCAATCTCAACCTCAGGTTGATGTTTAGTGTTTTGGTAAATACGGAGTAGAAATGAAGTCGCTGTATTGATTAATTACTCTGTATTATTCAAATTTTAAAGTTTATGTAACAACCAAAAATTAAAGAGGTAAATGTTAGAAAATAATTATGGGGAGAAGAATTAGGAATGTGTTTACACTGTTCTTAAAGCAATTTAAACCCCCACTATGATTGCTATGGGTTACCGATTAATATGCTTATAGGATTTTCCCTAAGTTCGAGATCAACTAAAGCAATGTAATTGAACTTCCTAAGAACACTTTTAAGAACTATTAGAATAGAAAAGGAAGAAGAAGATAAAAAGTGAAAAAGTAAGTTATAATTTTGGAGCCATTAGAATATATATAATAAACAACCTTTTTAATCCAAGAGTCACTATTTCTAAAAAATAATAAATTAAGATAATCTGAATTTTAATGAATAGTCACTATTAACCTAATCAATTTAACCGTAGGAAAGTTACCGCTTACACTCGCCCGATCGGGCATAAACGGACAAATCTTTTAACTAGGCTCGCGCCCGATCAGGCAAAGCCCGCCCGGTCGGGCCATCTATACTTCAGAAAATAAGTTTGCTCTCGCGCTCGACCGGACTAACTTAGCCCTATCGAGCGAGCAAATATTATTTTCCTAAGTATATATTCGCGCCCGATCAGGCCCGTGGTCATAAACCATGACACACGTTAAAATTTTGTTATGCTTCAAATATTAAACTTATAGACTAGCTCCAAGTTAAATTTTTCCATTTAACTAATGTGGGAGCTTATTCCCAACATCAAATTAAATAGAATAGAGTAACTTATAAACTAGCTTCAAGCTAAACTTTTCTATTTAACCAATGTGGGAGTTTCTTCCCAACATCAAGTTAAATAGAATAGAGTAAGCTAATATCATCTATTCAACCAATGTGGGAGCTTTTACCAACAACAAGTTAAATAGAATTGAACAAGCTAACTTCTTCTATTCTACTAATGTGGGACTTCCATCCAACATTTAGCTATGTAGACTAACCTATATAACCAACTTCTATTCTACCAATGTGGGACTAATTTCCCATCATTGACAAAACCTATTATGAAGACTACTCTAACAGTAAATGTGGTGTAGGTGTATTTCATTATTATTACTTGTTTCGATTTTTAATGCGGGGTAATATAATAGTCGTATGTAATTAATGCGGAGTAATAATAATCTAATTAATTATTATGAGGAAATTTTCACTTTTGCTACCACTCAAACACCCTTATTTTACTTTTGTTACCCATCTAAAAGTTTAATTTATTTTGTTACCACCAAAAGCAAACAACATATGTTTTGCTACCAATTAACAGAATTGGTTATTATTTCTGTTAGTAGGGCCCAACCACCGTCAAGCCACCCCTCCCTCCTTCCAGCCACCCCTACTCCCTGCTCACACCACCAACAACCACCCCATCACACACACAACAGCCCCGCCCTATCTCACCACCACGTACAACACCTCCCTCCACCGTCAATTCCATCACCACCAGCAATCAACTCCAATTTCAATTCCCCTGCTCCAATATTTGCCAACAACAACACCCAGGTGGCCCACAATCGACCACCATCAAGCAGCCCACGCACTAGTAATTAACCGCAGCGGCACCAACATCCCACAATCGACCACCATCAAGCTAAGCAGCCCACACACCAACAATTAACTACAGCGGCATCGACATCAAGCAACCAATAGCAGCGGCATTAAGCAACCAATTTCGGTCAATCGCGGCAGCATCAAACAATCAGCCTCCAACGGGTAGTCCATACTTAAACTTTTGGGTCAAGAGGAAGCCTTTGCAAGGAGCAGAGAAGCACTTTCAAAGATGATACAGACCCTGAGTTGTAAGGCTGCTTAACCCAGAAAGAGGGTCAGAGTGAAACTTATCTTCTCAAAGATGTTAAGTAGTGAAAAGCGAGGAAGTCCTAGAAAAGCAACTACTAGCTAATGCCGGAGGATCTTTGCTTGATTCGACTTCTGCCTTGATGTGCCTCCTCCTTTTTCAATATGAAATTCGAGATTCACACTACTAGAAAACAGTCAATCAACGACGGAAAAAATCCGTCGGAAAACCCTGAAAATCCGTCGGAAATGGTCATTTCCGACGGAATTCCGTCGGAAAGCATTATCGGAAGACCCTTTGTAGGTATTTTGCGATATTCAGTCGGAAGAGACCTTTCCGACGAATTTTGTTCTGTCGGCGCTTTTGTTGACTTTAAGTAAAATTCCGTCGCAAGGTTCCGACGGAGTTTTCCGTCGGACGGTGATATGTTCCGACGGAAATATCCGTCGGTGGGGAAATATTCCGACGGAATTTTCCGTCGGAAAAAGTATATTCCGACGGAAAATTCCGTCAGAAAATTGAATAAAAAAAAAAAACCACCACAATCCCCACCCAGAACCACCCTGGCCACCAGCCCACACCACCCACCAGCCCAGACACCCCCACCCCACCCCAGACCCACCCCACCCACACACCCTAGCCCCGCCACCAGCCTACACCACCCACCACGTCCCAGACACCCCACCTCACCCCAGACCCAAACCCACCCCACTCAGACCCAGACCCACCCAGGCCAGACCCACCCCACCCCTCCCCTCCCCTCCCAGACACCCCAAACCCGCCACCAGATCTACAAACCACCACCGAAACCACCATCCCCACCCTCTCTAACCACCACCGAAACCCACCTTAAACCACCACCCCCACCCAGCACCGAAATACATCCAAAAATTCGAAAAAAAAAAACCGAAAAACATCCAAAAATTCAAAAAACAACCAATAAAACATCCAAAAATTCGAAAATACATCCATAAATTAATGAAAAAAAATAGAAAAAAACAACAAAAAAAACCGAAAATACAACAAATTAATTAAAAAAAAAGATATGTACCTAAATTTGACAAAATTGGGTTTACGAGGCCAAATTCGACCATGAAAACTCTAGGTAGAGTTTTCATAGTCGAATTTGACTTGAAAACCTTCGTTTTAACCATCAATAACCTTCGTTTTCATTGTTGACGGTGCGAGAGTGAGAAAGAGATGAATAGCAGCGAATTGGAAAGTGAGAAAGAGATGAAGAGCCGAGAAGAAAGAGAAGAAGATGGCATGAAGGAGGAGAGGAAATCAGAGAAGAAGATGGAATGAAGGAGGAGAGGAAATCAAAGAAGAAGAGAAGAGGAAAGAGGAGAGGAAAGAGAAAGAGGAAAGAGGCGGCAAGAGGAGAGAGAAAAGAGCAATGAAAGGGGAAGGGGGAATGTAGGGTTTCCCGGGTTTTGTAATTTTTTTTTTTTAAAACCGTCGGAAAACCTTAATATTCCGTCGGAAAAGTCCGTCGGAAAGTTCCGACGAAATTAAAATCCCTCGGAATTTCCTACGGATTTTAAATCCGTAGGAATTTAATCTGTTCCGATGGATTTTTTTCCCTCGGAATTGATCGCTTCCGACGGAAATTTCCGTCCGAAGACATTTTCCGAGAGAAAATTCCGTCGGAAGTAGTAAATTCCGAGGAAAAAAAAAATCCGCCGGAATATTTTCGAGGGAATTTCCGTCGGAACTAACATTTTCCGATGGACTTTTCTGACAGACCCAAATTCCGTCGGAAATTTGAAATTTTCCGACGGAAATTAAGTCCGTCGGAACGATTCCCTCGAAAAACAGCCTATTTCTAGTAGTGTCACTAGGTTGGTCAGTCACACAAAATAGAGTAGC